TTCATGGACTCTCTTGGCTCGGAGGGGCGGTCTCGGAGGCTTCCACTTGGCCAGTGGGAGGTTTCGACCATAAGCAGGGGCGTCCACTCTGATTAAAGATCAGGGCCAGGGAAATGACCAGGCCAGGCTGTGGACCCGGCTGTCCCACTGTGAGCTGGGCCTGGGTGGGACTCCCTTTGCTGTGTATCCACTGTTGCTCCCCTAACCTGAGTCAGGAGGACACTTGACATCCTCAGGGTCAAGGTCAGCTCGGACCGTGTGTCCAAGTGCAGTCCTAAAGCAATCAGGTATTCTTCTTCCCTGGGTTATGTATGCTCTGAGTAAATGGTGGTAGGCCCCTCTGAGGAGGCCCCTCTGGGAAGGACGCATCGATGGGGGAGAGGCCTCCCTCATGGGGTCCCCTGTCTCCTTTGCTCAAGGGGCTCAGAGTCTGAGAACCGCCTCCTGTCTGGAACCTGGGTAATGTTTCGTGGCTTTGTCTTGGGGCAGCCATCCAATCAACGATCCACTGTTGAGTCCTCCTGCTTCTAGAAAGGAAGCCAACCCCCTGTCAGATGCCCGGCTATGTGCCCCCCGGCCACACCGTGGCCCACTAACGGCTTGCAGCTCTCTGTGGGCCTGGTCCTTCCACCTGGCCTCTGAAAGGCCCACACTCCCACCTGGCCCATGGCTATCGGGGGGCCCGGTTCTGTCACGCCTTCTACTGTCAGCATGGGCCTCCAAGGAATGGCCACCCGGCTTCTCGATGAGGTGTCCCTCAGGGTGCCCTCTTTCTGGTAAATGGATGTCCTCGGGGTCCCTTTGTGGGACATATTTGGCTGCTGGGCCTATTTGGCTATCACAAATACAGAGGTACATGCACTCTAGTGTGCAGAATTTAAGCAAAGTCTCTTTTACCGCACAAGCAAATATCAAAAAGAAATGGCGTGGGGGAGGCAGATATAACTAATAGATGGGATTTTGGTTTCTTTAAAATTTTTTTTACTACTCAGGGTCCAGGCCCCCCTTGATTCTCCATCACCGAGAGTACCATGACACAGTGATGGCGTATCTGAGGCTCTTGACCTTGAAGACGACAGTATGTGGTTGGGCTCTGCCCCCCACAGGGGGGGAAGCAGCTGGGAACTTAAGAAAATACGGAACCCCTCTGAAACCTTGGCATTCAAGCTGAGAGACGGTGATGGTGTGTCAGGAGGGAGAGAGCTGAAGGTAGTTCAGAAGCTCTCACCTTGGCTGAGGCCAATGGAGCGCCATCCTCCATGACTTGAGTATAGAATTCCAGCTTTTCCTTCTGCGGTTCTGAAAAGTTCTGCTTTCCAGGGACAGGGACAAATGGGAGGCTTCTGCACAGACCGCGTGTGACGAGCTACCTTGGCTTCCGGCCCTTCCTGCCCACCGCTGGCTGGGCCCTGTGGCCTGGAGCAGGGAACACGCTGGCCCGCCCTCTCCCGGCCCCGGGGCTCCGGCTCTGTTGGTTGTCCTTACGTTTCTGCGGCAGACAGCATGTCCTTCCCCCGGCGCAGGCCACCCCCCTCAGAGACTGCATTCCAGGACACAGATAGGAAGGCGGAGGAGTGAGTTCTGTCCTCGCCCTGCTGGTTTCTGATGTGGGAAACAAAGGCAGAAGAAAAATTTTTAAATTTCCGTACTACCTAGAGCCCACTGACAAGTCCTTGAAACGGGCAGAGTGACATTCCTCTAGGGACTCGACTGCCTTGATGTTAATACTTCACTAAGGGCAAAAGGCAACCTTAGGGGCCCCTGGGTGGCTCAGTCGTTAAGCATCTGCCTTCGGCTCAGGTCATGATCCCAGAGTCCTGGGATCGAGTCCCACATCGGGCTCCCTGCTGGGAGGGAAGCCTGTTTCTCCCTCTCCCACTCCCCCTGCTTGTGTTCCTGCTCTCGCTGTCAAATAAATAAAATCTTTAAAAAAAAAAAAAAAAAAAGGCAACCTTAGCCTGAGCCGCACCAGGATCCTCTAAGTCTACTTTAACATGTAAAAATTCCTTTGGAGGGGCACCTGGGTGGCTCAGTCGTTAAGCGTCTGCCTTCGGCTCAGGTCGTGATCCCAGGGTCCTGGGATAGAGCCCTGCATCGGGCTCCCTGCTCAGCGGGAAGCCTGCTTCTCCCTCTCCCGCTCCCCCTGCTTGTGCTGGCTCTCTCCCTGTCTCCCTCTGTCATATAAATAAATAAAATCTTTTAAGAAAAAAAGAATTCCTTTGGAAACTTCCTTTATCCCTAAACCCCCCAAGATACGTGTTGGCAAACATCCCTGAAGCATACGGCCCACCGATATACATCCAAAGGGTCTTGTGATCAGGTTTTATTAGATGGTAATAAATGACCTTTTCCCAACAATAGCTAGCCCCCTCAGGGTCCTGGAAACCTTGCTTCTAAAATTCCTTAGAGACTTTCGCTATCCCTGACCCCGACCCAACTGGAAAGTATTTAACATCCCAACTTGAGAAAGTATTTAACGGGCTGCCCCTCATGACCCCAGTGCAGCTTTCTGCCCACGGGTCCGTCCCCCTGCTTTAATAAAATCACCTTTGTGCACCAAAAACGTCTCAGGACTTCTTTCTTGGCTGTCGGCCTCGAACCCTAACATCTTTCCCACATCAGTTTCCACTTTGGGTGAGGGTCCAAAGACGATCTTTCCCACCTTCACGAAAAGGTCTGTAGGCCCGGGCTAGCAGCTGCCGCCCAGCTTAGAGCAGCCATCCCGCGGGCCGGCACAGCCAAGAGGGGAGAGGCGCAGGTGCATTTGCTAGCGTGAAGACAAGGAAGGGTGGGTGTGCTGGAGCACATGTTCCTACAGAAAAAAAGGAGGGGACACTAAGTAGGCCCTGGGGCTGCTCGGAGGGTAAGCCTCAGGGCTCAAGTAAAACGTCTCAACTGCTAAGGACCTAAAGTATCCCTGAGTTACCTCCCGTTAGACACAAGGACTGGGCGGGCCCCAGAGAGCGGAGAGGGTGGTGGCCCTGAGGCCCACCCTCCTACCCGTCGTCGTCATCGGGTAACAGATTGTCCCCTGAGGTAAGCCAGACCAAACGTCCCCCCTCCCTCCACCGTGCAGTGGGCGAGCAGGTGCATCAGGGATGGACACCACCCCCCCAGGAGTCCCGCGCCGGTCCCCCGCCCTCCCTGCAGCCGCGTGAGCTCCAACACACAGGCGGTTTCCATACTAGCAAAATACTTTTATTATTTTATAATGATAAAAGAAGGAGAGTAAAGATTTCTTTTTGGTGTATACCAGAGTTAAGGGCGGTAGAAGAATAAGGGGATTAATGGGATTTTTATGCACTTTGATGACAATAAAAAGTTAACAATACCAACCGTTTGCCATAAAACTTATCATAGCTCCCCCAAAACACATATATAAAGGATCATAGTTTTAAAATCTATAAAAGTAAAAAATATACAGTCAGAAACTCTAACGCTTATTTCCTCTTTAATATAAAATTGTAAACATTTATTTACACAAAGCAAATGTGTATAACAAAGTCCGAGCACCCTTCTTTTGAGTCATGGCTCCTGGAAGAGGGGATCTGCACTGAAGCGGAGGCATCTCCTCCCGACTCCCCAAAAACCAGATTCATAAATAAAGCCACGGGCAGCTCCCTGGGGGGACCCCAAGCATCACATTTTATTGCTTCAACACTGCAGCGAAGAAGCCTGTCTGTCCAGCGGCCCGAGGACTAAGGCAGGGGCGGCCCTCCCCAGGAGGGGACAGAGGTGAGCAGCCAGAGGGAGACCGGGAAAGGAACAGGACCCATCACCAGCCTTCAGCCCGCTATTTTTGGTAGAAAACCCGCTGAAGTCACCCTCTTCCCCTTCAGATGGGGGAACTCGCACAGAGGGTGGAGTCTTCACTGGCTTTATGATTCATTCCCTTCTTTGAAAGCTAAATTCAGCATCTGGGGAGGGCAGGGAGGGCGTTTAAAGGGGAAATGGCCCAGACACCACTCAAGGTGGCAAATGGCTATTAGAGAAGAGGATCTGAGGGTCCAAGTACCCCCATGAAAGGCACTGCTGGTGCAGAATAATAACTCCTGTGCACAACCCTTGTCCCCTCAAAAGCCACTTAGGCTGCCCACGTGGATATCTTCCCTGGCTCAACTCTTTACACAGGACACTCCTTGAACCATCCACTTTGAGACTCCAGGGAAATAAAAACAGGGTTTCGGTTTCTCCCGAGACCACTCTGCATGGAAGCCACTCTTCTCAGTGTCCTATCTGCTCTCCGACACTGTTTAAAAGGGTCTCAACCCTGCACTTACCATTTTGCTTTCGTTCTAACCCAACTGCTCTCTCCATCTGTTTTGTCCAGAAACAGCCGACAGGTAACCCTCTGTTTTGTGGACTCTTAGCTTAGTCAAGTCCATAGACCTTCAGAGAGAAATCCACTCAGATCTCGAGAAGGATTTATTAGTGTTATAAAGCCATTCTCTTTAAAAAGTGCAAGTCATCTGACATGGGAGAGTGGCAGAAGTGGTAAAACCAAGTGGGATTCTCTTCTTCGCCTGCCCCCCCCCCACAGCGCTCCCCGCTTTCCCGCCTTCCCCCACACCTCTGCTTTCTGGGGAGGAGACGCCTTCCCGCCTACAACGCTGGGACTCCCCAGGGAATTCTAGTGACTCTTTCCCCACCAATCTAGTACACTGTCGCCTTCAAGTTTTCCATTTGGCCCGGAGAGACAAAGAAGGGGAGGCAGGAAGGTCACAGAAACTGGAGATGGGGTGAAGACCTCTGTGCACAGCTCAGCTGGGATCACCTTCCTGACACATTAAATCCCAGTTTTCAGAGAAAACTGCAGAAGGTGGGGAGTGACAACGACGAGAGGGGACACAGGCATCCCGAACTTTCCATTTCAGCACATAGCCCGGGGGCTGCCTGGGGGCGGGGGGGGGGCACAGCACTGTGGGAGGGGGAGGCAGAGGCCGCATCTGTGTCCCCAGCTCTGCTAACTCACGCATCCTGTTCCTTTTTGGCACATGCGGTCTCAGGCTGCGCTGACGGAAACGAGTTCCCAGGGACCCTCCCTTTCCCCGAAAGCGGACAAAGAGCAGGAATAAGAAAGGCTCTCGACCACAAGGAAACCCTCGGTTCCCAATGCCACGCAATTGGTTTAAACCACCACCTATCCTAATGGGTCTTCAAATCTTTAAAAAAAAATTTTAATCTTTTCTATGCTACAAATTGCAAATAGTTCTGCTATATGAAGTTGCAATGAAACCTGTCCCCAGCATGGGGGCAAGTGGAGAAATCTTGGATTAAGTCAACACGACGGCACAGATTTTTGTAAGCCTGACATCGTGGGGTTTCACTATTCTTACTGTTGGGTTTTTTGGTCTTTTGGATTGAAAACCACCTGTAGAACCCTGTCCTGCTGTCCCGACACCGGGCAACGGATACCAGCAGAGGGGCTGGGGCCAGCCCGACTGACCGCAACTGCTGGCTGGAGCCAGGGGGGCCCCGCAGACCCTGGCCGGGGCCCGCCTCAGCCCTGGGGCTCTAGCCCCCCACCCCTACCCCGTCCGGTTCCCCGGGCCACGGGCTTTTGGTCCCAAGTAGTTGCTCTTTCTTGAATCTGAGAACAAAAATACAGGCTGTCTGAGCACTGAGAACACTGCAAACCCTCCAGTTACTGAGGCCCTAAGAGGTCGTCCAAATCATTCATCCACTCTTCCGAAGTCCTGTTCTTCAGCAGGGAGTCGATCAGGTCGGCATCTCCGGCCATGCTGGCCAGCCCGCTGCCACCCGGCTGCCCGCTGTAGGCGAAGGGGAGCTCCTGGCCCGCAGTCCGCACGGGGTAGGCCTGAGCGCAGTGCAGTCCTGCCCGGCCCGCCATCGGCGGTGCCGGGCTCTGGCTGAAGGCCCCCAGCTCAGGCCCGCCGGGGCTCAGGCCCGGCAAGCCCGGCTGTGGGGCTCCCTGGGGAGGTGCTGGGGCGGGGGCACTGGTCCTCTGCTGCGCGCTCACCGGGGGCAGCATGGACCCCGCCGCAGCTGCCGAGCTCATGGGGGCCATGGGCCTGCTGGGCATCGCCTGGGAGAACTGAGGGCTGGACATTTTCAGGTGGGCCTGCTGCATGTGGAAACTGGAGGCTGCCGTGAAGGGGCTCACGGTGCTGCTCCCTGGGGTCTGGCCGCTCAAGTTCGGCAGGCCCTGATGTGGCCACGAGGGGTTCTGGCCTCCCATAGCGGCTGACACTCTCGGGACCTGTGGCTTGGTTAAGCCAGAGTTCAGGGTCCCCTTATTGTGCTGCTGGGAGAGGCCGGAGCTCCCCAGAGAGTTCTGCCCATAGGCCGCGGAGACCGAGGTGTTCTGGCCCACGCTGGTCTGCCGTGCGATGTGGGCGTGTCCGTTGGTGGCCTGTGGCGGGGGCTGGGCGACGATCTGGGTGATGCTGGAGGCCATGCCGTAGAGACCACCCTGCGGCAGGCTTTGGGAGCCAGTGAACTGGGCCACACCCCGGTCCTGCTGGCCTGAGTTTGAGGGGAGCGAGGAAACCGAAGTGTGCCCGGGGCCCATCGGCATCAGACTCCCGGCCTGAGGGAACCCTCGAGGACAGCTGGAGTTAGATGGCCCCAAGCTGTTCATGCCAGGCACAGCAGCAGAGGACCCTAGAAGACAGAGAGGAGCCAGGCAATCAAGCTGGCATTTCTTGGCACACCGCCGCGGGGGGCTCTACGACCCCAGCTGCAGGTGCTACACTCTGGCGTGAAAGGCCAAACCAGAACACCGGGTATCCTGAGGTCAGTGGAGCCTCGAAGAAGACAGCCCTGGGGGCCGAAGGGGAGCAGGTTTCCTGCAGGGTGGAACGGAGGCCAGTCTGGAGCAGTGAGGAATTTAAGACCTGCTCAGAGGAAGGGGCCAACCCCAGGGTGGGGGAAGCCAGGAGACTCGATGACTCCCCCCGTCAAAGTCCCACCCCGGTTCTGCTATGTGGGAGCCCCCTGCCGGCACAGGGAGGAGGGGAATGGATCCAGCCCAGGGTCTGCCTCGGGGAGGTAAGGGCTCCGTGCAGTGTGACCAGGTGATGACGACAGGTGGCAGGGCAGGGGACCAGAGGCTCAGTGCCTGGGAAAATCTGCAGAGGGCTTCAGAGAAACGGTGACAAAGACACTGGGTTTTAAAAGGATCGAATTTCAGTGATTTAACAGTTTGGAGAAACGGAGTATTCTAGATGGAGAAGAGAGCATGGAAGGGCATGGAGTTACGAGAGGCCGGCTGTGTGGGGAGCTCCGTGGCTGGGGTATTGGGAGGATGTCCCCACCGGCTGGAGATGCAGCTGGACAGAGAGCCGTGGCCAGACTCAGGGGAGCTGGGGCTGCCACGTCAAGGGCGAGGTTGCAGAGCCAAAGGGGGAGGGGATTGCAACAGTGGTTCCAGGGCTGGGCGGGGGCTGCTCAAATCACTCAGGTGAGGGGTGCACGAGCTGTTGGCACCGTGGGGGTGAGAGAGGAAGGGTGTGAGGTCCTGTTTATTCCTGGAGGGATGGCCTGAGCCAGGGCAGCGAGGTTCCTGTGCACATCTGAGACCTCAGAGTGCTTCCCACCCGTGACACCAAAGTGAGACAAAAGGAAGAAAGAGAAGCAGCAAAAGGCCACACAAACTACCCCAATTCTCTCCTTATCTGGAAAATAAGAGGGTTGCTTTTTGAAGGCATGCAATGGCAGAAACAAAGAACTTTCTTAAGAATTACAGAAGCGGGGCGCCTGGGTGGCTCAGTTGGTTAAGCGACTGCCTTCGGCTCAGGTCATGATCCTGGAGTCCCGGGATCGAGTCCCGCATCGGGCTCCCTGCTCGGCGGGGAGCCTGCTTCTCCCTCTGACCCTCCCCCCTCTCATGTGCTCTCTGTCTCAAATAAAAAAAAAAAAAAAAAAAGAATTACAGAAGCCATTTCCTATTGATAAGCTATCCTCCGGCCAGGAAGGACTTTGCTTCAAAAGATGGCACCACCAGAGCGCTCACCAAAGTGGCCTGCCCCCACGACCCTGTTCCCCCGGCCTGCAGGGGACCTAGAAAGCCGCGCTCCGTGGGCGACTAGACTTTCACAAGCAAGTCCATCTAGTTAGCCCCTAGCAGGAAGCCAGGCCGACGCAAGAGCCACCCGCTCTGCCCTGTGCCCACCTCCCCGGGCCCTCACCTGCGAACTGCCCGACCTGCTGGGGGAAGGTGCTCTGGGCTGGGTCTTGGTACTGGGGAGGTGGGCGCGTCAGGTGGCGCTGGAACTGCTGCTTTTCCTAGAAAACACCAAGAAGGAAAGACCAAAACAACAAGACCCAAACAAAACAAAAACAAGTGTTAGAACAGACAGAAGCACACCCTACGTCTGTTACTCACGGATGCGTTCCCGCAGACATAATGCTCGTGGTTCCATTTGGGGGATTTTTAATAAACTGTGTGAAACAGAAGGATGGGGCAGATCTAAGGAGCAATGATTAAAAAAAAAACCCACAAAAAACGGTGGTGTATTGGTTTAAAAAAACGATGAGGGGAGCGCCTGGGGGGCGCAGTGGGTTGAGCGTCCCACTCTTGGTTTCGGCTCAGGTCCTGGTCTCAAGACCATGAGATGGAGCCCTGCACTGGGCTCCGAGCTGGGCGTGGAGCCTGCTTACGATTCTCTCTCCCTGTGCCCCTCGCCCAATGTTGGGAGGGCAGATCGGGGAAATGCTCATCAAAGCCACAATGACATCCCCTTCACACCCGCTAGGATGGCTAGAGCCAACAAGCCAAGTACGGGCAGGCTGTGGAGAGCCTGGCGCCCTCACACGGTGGTGGCAAAGTAAAATGGGGCAGCCGCTTGGGAGCCCAGTCTGGCAGCTCCTCACAGGGCCCCACGTAAGAGCTGCCACGTGACCCAGCAATTCCGCCCCCGGGTATGCACTCAACAGAGCCGAAAACCTGCGACCGTAGTAAGAAGGGGGCACAACCCAAACGTCATCAACCGGTGAATGGATAAACCAAACGGCGCGTATCCACATGCGCGAGTACCGCTCAGCCACAAGAAGGAGGGAAGCGTGCGCTACAACGTGGCCGGCAACTTTTAACGGTCATGTGGTTTTTTAGGGGCTGAAAACGGATGAAATCGACTGTGGTGACTGTGGTGATGGTTACACTACTGTGTGGATACGGTAAAAACCACTGAATTGTACACTTCAAATGGATGGGCTGGAGGTCATGGGACTCGAGTCCCAATAAAGCTGTTATTTGTAAAAATGGCAGAACGGGGGCAGGGATGTGGGCCTTCAAGTCCTCCTCAAGCACCTTTGTCTTCTGGGTGGCTGGTTCTTCTCTTACAACTTTTAAAGCTGGAATTTGAAATCCCGAGCATCGCTGTCACCTTGCCGCCCACGCACCGCACCTGGGGACCAGGCGGGTGAACTGCAGGATGTGGAGGGGGCTTGGCGGGCCTGATTCCAGAACTCGAGGGCCTCGGGGACATTTCCATTCCCCTGTGTCATATTCTGGCTTATCACAAACTACACTTACAACAACACTGGATCCCACAGTGAACCGGCAGACCAGGGAGTTCGGGGCTCTGGCAGTTGTGGACGTGGGGTATGGAAAAAAGACGCCCCTAACAAATACAGTTTTAGCCACAGATTTGCCTTCCTGAATCCCCGCCAAGTGACATGAAAGTGGCTTCGGACACAGGCCCCCGCTGAGAAAGGCCACACTCCTGGGAAGTGGTTTAAAAGGGCAGAGGAGGGGCGCCTGGGTGGCTCGGTCCGTGGAGGGGAGTCTGCTTTAGATTCTCTCCCTCTGCCCCTCCAGCTTGTGCTCTTTCTCTCTCTCAAATAAATAAATCTTTAAAAAAAATTTAAAATAAAAGGGCAAAGGACACGCAAACGCAGGCCCAGAGGCGGCGCGCGCGCGCAGTGGGGCTGAGAGCCGGGCAGTGCCGCGGGAGGCCGGAGGACGCGGGGGCGGCGGGGGCGGCGGGGGCGTCCTCCCCTCTCGTCTACCTGTTCTGCCAGAAGGTGCTGCTGCCTCTGTAAGAACTGCTGTTGCTGCAGATGCTTCTGCTGCTGCTCCCGCTGTTTCTGTTGGTCCAAAAGCAGGTGGTGCTGCTTCATGACGGCCGCCTGCTGCGGGCTGCTGAGATACGGGGCGCTGCTGCGCGTGCTGGCCGCCGAGGCGGCGGGCGGCTGGCTCCCCGCGGCGGCCACAGGGGCGCTGGGCGGGGGCTGCTCCTGGGCGCACAGAGGAGGGGGTCTCGGGTCAGGAGGAACACAGTGAAGTCTAGCAGGCCCGGTCGGCGCAGATTCTCCCCTGAAGCCTCTGCACCGCGCCCCCCCCAAGGCTGACCCCAGGGCACGGGACCCCAGGCCGCACACCCGAGAACCCAGGCACAGCAAGGGGCAGCGTCACCAGCTGCACGCGATCCCTGCTGCCTGCGGTTCCCACTGAAGCCCGAAGCCCGCACGTCCGCATGCCTGGCTTCCAGGCCGCTCGCTCTCCGGAATGCGTGCAGGCAAATGCGCCCCCGGAGGAGGAACGCCCTGAGGGGCTCTGACGGATGGAGACCCGAGGTTCCAAGAAGTTCCAAGCGTGCCAACCTCGGGTCCCCAGGCGTGCCCGAAACCGTACCACGTGTCCATCTGTGTAGGGCATTTTCCTGGGACCAGACTGCTGGGCTTTTGTCAGATACTCACGCTCACAAAATACGGAGCATCGATGAAAACTTAAATAAATATTCTCAATTAATAGGTGGGCTAAAAGCTCAGAGTCATTAGCCCGTCAGAGGCTCCACAGTATTATCTGGTCATGACTTACATTTTAAAAGGGGGAAAATTTAACTCGAAACAGGGACAAAGGTAAAAAGCAATGATCATTTAAATAAGCTTGACTTTTTGAGCTCCTTTCCAGTCTTTTAAGGTCTGTATATTTCATCCTTAGAAGAAAGAGTCTAACCTTCCAGCAGACAGACCCTGGGTGATTCCCTACTCCCCCCCCCCCCCCGCCCCCCAAGAAGCCTCTGGGCTCCAAGTGCTTTGTGAGGCGCTCTCAGGGACACTCCCAGTGGCTGTGGAGAGTTTCCCGGCTGGTACCAGTGGCCGCATCAACATTTCCACGTGTGCTCTCCTGCTGAGAGGCCTGACCTGGTTTGGGGCTATTAGAAATAACATGCAATGAATATCCCGCATATTACTTTCCTGTTTTTTTAGGGATTATTTCTTGCAGGGGTATAATGTGTCGATGCTTACGAACATTTTTATGGCTTAAGAAGAATATCTAACACCAAATTACTTCCCACCAGCACCGTGCCCATGTGCACACCCTCATCAGCAGAGGGGCACTGATTTCCCAATTATTATTATTACCAACACCAGGTTTTTAATTTTTAAAATTTTGCAAACACACAAGGGTACCTGCAAAGGTACTGGCCACAGGCTTATAGTCGTGAAGACCATGAGATGACAGGGCACACCAACATGAGGGCACGCCCCACGTTCCGCAACTGCTGCCACACCACTGTCAACAAGGATCAGGGATCTATGCATGCGGACACGGGGACAGTGTGGGACACACTGTGGAGGGAGAAAAGCACGTGTGCTCCCCTCTGTCTTGGAGGAAGTTGGGGGAACAAGCCCTTGCCATGAGAAGGTTGCTAGGGAAGAGACATCTCAGCACACATCTGAACATGAGCAGAAACGCAGTGATCGTGGTAAAACTGGCCCGTGACCATTCTCCGTGACTCTGCCGGCTGGAGCATCACGCCTACTTAGCCACGGAGTTTACAGGTGTCGGGGAATCAGCTCTCCCCTTACTAAATCTTAAGGTATTTTGCACACAGAGATCTGAAAGGTGTTGTTTTTTTTTTCAAAGGCAAGGCCTCTAAGGAGCACATTAAACGTGACCTTTACCTGCAGAATACAGCCACCCGTGACTGGCTTTACGCTGTACGGCAGGTGCGAGACACTCGATGCCTCTGCCTAGGTGTCAGCTGATGCCTCAAACGTATGGATACTTTAAACCAAGTTGCACCAGGGAATTTTACCCTATTTCTGTTTATTCAGAATTGACCCTGGTTTGCTTGACCGATTTTCTCTCTCCAGAGACTCAAAGGACGCCAGTTGCTGCTCCCTCCCTCTCTCCCTCCCTCCAACCACAGGGGTACACAGTGACAGAGAGGGAAGCCGGGAGCTCACCTGGCTGGGTGGAACCAGTGATCGGAAGGGCATGTTCCCTGGCTTTGGTTTCATCATAAACAAGGAGTTCTGCTCATTGCTCAGATGAGGCAGCTGCTGGGGAAGGTAAGCCATGAGGGCGGTCTTGCTCTGCCCGGACGCGGGGCCGCCTTGCCCGCAGTCGGCTTTGTAATGAGACAGGGGTTTGGTGTTGCCGTAGTCCAGCACCGAGCCCTGGTTAGGCACGGCACTCTGATTCAAGTTACTTGGCGGTGGGTGACTCAGCAGGTTCACGTGGCCGGCCTGGAGGTAGGGGCCTCCGGGCCGCGGGGAGCTCTTGTTCACTCCGGGCATCATGAGCAGTTTGGAGTTGGTGAAGTCTTGCTTGTAGCCAGGAGGGCTGGCAGGCTTCTCCAGGGGATAAGGGACGTTTAAGGGGCTGTGGGAGGGGCCCGTCTGCTGCCATGTGGACATCTGGCCTGGGACTGGCGCCTGGGTGGCCTGCTGCGGGTTCTGGAGCATCTGCTCACGCTTCTGCTTGGCGGCGATTTGTTGCAGCTGGTGGGCAGAGGACAGCTCCGTGGCCCCTCCCGGGCCCTGGCTGGGCAACACTACGCTGGAGAGGGCTCTTGGTGCATTCTGGGCCTGGGCTGATGCCGGCATCAGGTTGGGACTGGGATTGTCGGTCCCGGGCTGACCAGAGGCATGGAACAGAGGCTGAGCGCCCCCCAGGCTGGGCGAATCTGTGCTCACGGGGCCGGCTGAAGGCCCCATAAAGGTCTGTCCTGCAGACCCAGCCCTCACTTGTGGAGAGCCTAACTGCTCTTGTTCAAAGGCTGCTGGAGAGAATTCTGTCTTAATATTAATATCCTGTGCCAAGGGGGTCTGTGTGGCCGACCCAGAAGACTCTGGGTCCTTCTTTTCTTCAAAGTCCTCGTTAAACAGATCCTTCATGTCTTCATCGGGCACTGACCTGTTCAGCTCCTCAATGAGCTCCTTCCACTCCTGCTCGTTAAGGTTGAGGTCAGGCATGAGGTTGCTCTGGGATATGGAGCCCCCGGCCCCTGTGATCATGCATGGCAGGTCATCGACGGGCTCCTGCTTCAGCTCTTTATTCAGGCTCAGAGGAAAGGGCTCACCGGGGTTGCTTCCCCCGTTCAAGTGGAGGCTCGAGTCTGCCAGACATTTCTTACTGATGGAGTCCAACCCCAGGGAGTGCTTCCCGCTGGCCTGCAGTGCCTCGGCACCTGGCTTGTCAGGCTGCCCCAGGGGGGAGGCCGGTGGCAAGCCATTGGAAGCGATGGCTACCCCCAGAGGGGCCTCTCGCCGGGTCTTCTTGTGTCCAGGAAAGAGGTCTCCATAGCCGTTCTGCTGCTCACCATTCTGAGGGGAGGTGGTGCTCTCGAGGTTCCTCTTCACTGTATCGTGGAGATGCTGCAAAACACGGACAAGAGGGACTTCAGACACAGCGCCATGCAGGAGGCCCCTCCTAACAGTGAGGTCAGTCAGGGCCCACATCCCCGCAGCGCTCTCCTGCTGACTGTACCTGTCCAGCTTACACATCCCCCCCACTTCCCCTCTCCCAGGTCCTCCGGCGCTGCAGGAAAGCGAGCCCACGTCCATCAGTGCCTGGGTTCCTGACTTCTGCAGCCCTCTCTTCCTGCAGGACGCAAGCCCGATGCTGCCCACAGTCGTCTAGTCGGAGGGTGTGCCCAAGGATGGAACCAATGAGAAAGAACCAGAAGATACATATGCATTCTTGAGGGCGCCACCTAAGTCCTGGTTGTACAGGAGACCAGCGCCCCTGGACTTTTCACTTTGGGGAACCAAAAAATTCCTCGTGTTTAAGCTGATTTAACTCAGATTCCTTCCGCTTTCCGCAGGAGGAGCCCTGGCTGCTAGGGGCTCCTTCTCATGCCTTGGTGGGGGCGGCTCATGAGCACCAGGCTGCGCCGCCATTGTGTGGCTCAGGCCAGTTTTCCTGCCCTGTGCCTGGCCCCACCCCTTCTCTTAGGCAGGGCTGCTCCCATACGAGCCCACCCTCCTCCCTGCTGGCCCAAAGCAGCTTCCAGTCCCCTGCGCCCAGTCACCAGCCCCCACGAACCCCACCACTTCTTATGGAGAGCATCCCTCTGAACACAGCCAGTCTGTCTTGCATCGTTGTCCTTGCTTCCCTGTGAGATCTGTTCGGCTAGCCTTTCTAACAGCCCACCTTGGGCTGGGGCCAAGTGCTGTGTGCACACTGCGGCATTCATGGGCCACGGGACGGACACACACACACACACACACACACACGGCTACAGGTGATGACAAATGCCCTCCACAAGCAGCAGAGCAACAGCGTCGGGCACCCAGGCGCAGGAGTTTCGTGAAGAGAACGTGACAACGGAAGTGGGGAGGAGAGAAGGTGGTATCTTTCCACTCTTCCCCCAGCCTCATTTTCAACCCCTGGGACATGATTGCTCCATCAGCCGAGATGCCTACACTTAGTCCTAACATGGTGCTGCTCCTTTACAGTTTTAATTTTGTTACATTTTTGTCCTTCACCCTCCCTCCCACTGACCCTAAGCATCTACACTGTGCTATTTACAAAGTTCCAAATACTAGCTTTCATTATTATCTTTAAATAGCGATCAGAGGAGTCCGTAGCATCCAGAACTCCGTACTGCTGTCCTCTGGCTACAGAGAAGGGCTACACGGACCCACCGCAGTGGCCTGAGGAGCCTGCGTGCGTGAGTGCTCTGACCAGGGGTCCTGCCCAAGGCGACTCCTTGGGCACCAGCTCTCAGCAGCAAACCACCTCCTAGATACAAATGTGCAATGAGCAAGGAAACAAGGAGAGCAATTTTCTCAATCTGGAGTCCCAATTTCAATGCTCCCATTCCTCTTTTTAGCCCCACTTCAAGATTTTCCGATTTCTTTACTGTAAAAGCTGACTGCACAGGGCTCTATAAATCCTGGCTGAGTCCGTATTTCTCTAAATCCATATCTGGGTACCTAAGTTAGCTCAGAAAAACTTAGGGATACTCAACAGATGGAACAGAGGTGTAAGCTGAACAGGATCCTCGGATCCTACAAGACGGCTGCCTTACTTTCATGTGCGTTCTTCTGCTTCCTGCTGCCACCTAGAGGCGGGAGGGGGGAAGGGACCCATGCTCTTAAAATGGACCTTTATAAGATCTACTGTTGGAAAGTTTCCTTTGGGGAAGGGCAATTCATAGCCATTTAATCCGTCACAAGGAAATCAAAATGAGCTGCTGATTTTTCTTGGATTTTTATTCTTTCTATTATTTTCTTTTTGGAAAATCATTTGTTCCTCAGTGTCAGCTTTGGGCTGTCTGTAAACCTGGGAGCCCAGTTTTCCATTCTCCTAAGGGGTAAGATGGAAATCCAGGAGGTCAGGGCACTTGATGAGTCAGCTGGTTGTCCCAGATTAGAAACAGAACCCTTCTTTACCCTAACAATTATAAAAGCTACCACTCCTTCTTTCAATATTCGCATGCAAACAGCGGCAGACAAGTTCCAAAGTAACAACTCAATTTTGCAATCCAATTACTTTCAGCCAAAGGAAACACCAGGCCATTTTCCCAACTGCTCACAAAATGTAACTGGAATGATGTAGGCGGGGGTGAGGAGGGTGGAATGTGGTGGCCCATTTGCAGGAGTGCCTGATACGTGCAGGGCACTGGAGAGGAAGACGAAGATGGGTAAACCACGGAGACTCATCTCTGGGAATTTACAAAAGAGATGGGCAGACAGCCTGAACGGATTATAAATTATATAAGAACAAACACAGTTAAGAGAAAGCATACAAAACCGGCTGCCATAGATAAACACACGGGCTTGCTCTCAGTGTATCTGGTACTTCTGGGTGCTCAGCTCAGAGGCTCCTGTCCTAAGTATGGAATGGTCTCGTGGTACACAGGGTTCCAGGAGGATCCGGTCCTGGGATACTGTGATCTGGTGTTCGTTTCCCTCTCAAGGGGCTTTTGTTAAAGGGTACCACATGCCTGATGGTAAGCTGGAGGCCCTGCATGCTCACCCAGTCTTCCACCAAAGCCCCCTGCAGGCCTGACTCCCAGGCCAGCCTCTGCCACCCACCACTGAAGTTCCCGTGTGCTTTCTGGTCAGACTAACCACAGGGTAAAACCTATACTCTTCCGCTAACAAACACATGTGGTTGCTTAAGACAGGGGTGGCTCTCTCCTCCATATTCCTCATGTGTGGGCAGTCACCTGGGGCAGCCACCAGTGCTTTCTGCCCTTCTCAGGGTCATCTCTCTCCTTGGTCATCCTCCTATCAGCCAAATACAAGCCCTCCCCCCCAACCCTGGCCCAAGAGTTAGCACCTTGACCCACTGCAATACGGCTTCCATCCTCTGGGGAGCTGACGCGATGCTGAATTGGGCAGGGGGGGTAGAAGGGAGACTTCAGGGCTGCTTTCCCCGAGGCAGGCAATGACCCTGATGCTGTTAAACACAGTTCACATTTTCAGCCTTTCCCTCCATCATCTGCTTCTTAATAATTTCCTGCATCTTTAAAGCTCTCTGTCTTCATATTTCTTTACCACAGAATCTTGCTTTCTCTTCCACTTTTCTGGTTGTTCCTTCTACTCGCCTTTGAGGTAGGTCCAAATGAGTATGGGAGTCCTCTCTCCTCTTTTTCTTTTTTTTTAATTTTTAATTTTTTAATTTTTTTTTTTTTAAAGATTTTATTTATTTATTCATGAGAGACAGAGGGAGAGAGAGAGAGAAGCAGAGGGAGAAGCAGGCTCCCAAGGAGCAGGGAACCCGATGCGGGACTCGATCCCGGGACTCCAAGATCACGACCTGAGCCGAAGGCAGTCGCTTAACCGACTGAGCCACCCAGGCGCCCCTAATTTTTTTTTTTTTTAAAGATTTTGTTTATTTATTTGACAGAGAGAGACACAGTGAGAGAGAGAACACAAGCAGGGGGAGTGGGAGAGGGAGAAGCAGGCTTCCCATGGAGCAGGGGAGCCTGATGCGGGGCTCGATCCCGGGACCCTGGAACCATGACCTGAGCTGAAGGCAGACGCTTAATGACTGAGCCACCCAGGCGCCACCTTTTTTTAAATTTTTTTTTTTTTTTAAGATTTTATTTGACAAAGAGAGACAGCGAGAGCAGGAACACAAGCAGGGGGAGTGGGAGAGGGAGAAGTGGGCTTCCTGCCGAGCAGGGAGCCCGATGTGGGACTCGATCCCAGGACCCTGGGATCATGACCTGAGCCGAAGGCAGATGCTTAACGACTGAGCCACCCAGGCACCCTTTTTAAAAAAAATTTTTTTTAAAGATTTATATATTCATTTGAGAGAGAGAGCATGCATGCGAGTGCACGAGCAGGGGGGAGGGGCAGAGGGAGAGGGGGAGAGAGAATCCCCAAGCAGACTCCTCTCTGAGTGCAGAGACCAACGCAGGGCTCAATCCCACGACCCATGAGATCATGACCTGAGACGAAACCAAGAGTCGGACACCCAACTGACTGAGCCAACCGGTGCCCCTCTCCTCTTTTTATTCTATACATACTCTGAGTGATCTTATCCACTCCCAAGGCTCCAAATTCCTATGACTGAGCATCACACTCAGAATAAACCCATCTGCCAGGGATCAAGTGCTGATCTATCAGCCCTTGCCCTCCATCCAACCTCCTTTTCCATGCTCCCCCATGTACAGCACAATGAGTCACACCAGCCTTCTTAGAGATCCTCAAACGTGCCCCCTCATTCCTGCCTCAGGGCCTTTGGACTTGTTCTTCTCTTTGCCCAAAACACTTCTTCCCCATCTCCCTAGGGGTCGCTTAGCACATAATTCGGGTCCCTTATCTCCTAAAAGTCATAGAACGACTATTCTCCATCTCTCCAGCCTATCTCCTTGTTAATTCCCCCAGAGGTACTCAGGTGAATAAGCCTAGCTTCCCCCCATTAGAATGAAAAGCAGAGACCCAGCACCTAGAACAGAGCCTGGCACCCAGTAAGTATTTGTGAATGAATATGCTCTCTTACCCCGACGTCGACAGAGCCCCAGACTTCTGTTTGTCCAACCACCTACCTGGTGTGTGGGGTGTACCACAGATAATTCAGACTTAATCTGTCCAAACCTGAAGCAGCTTCTCCCCACTCCCGTTTTCCTTTCTCTGTTCCTGTCCCAGACAATGTCACTACCGTCCACCTAGTCACATAAGCCAGAACGGGAGAGCCACTCTAGCCCCTCCTTCTCTAGTACTCCTCACGTCCAGTCAGCACCCTAGTCCTGCTGAGCCCACCTCCTCAGCATTCTTAGGTCTCCCCACTTCTCTCCATCCACTAACACTAACTTCTCTGGCTTGACTCATTCCAACCACATCTACAGCTAGTCTCGTTAACAATCTCTGCCCTCACCTACATTCCGTACTATGGTCAGAGTGCCTGCACCGAAGGG